CTGTGGGTCCTCTTCTCCTTTCACTGTACACAGGCTTAAGAAAGCAATCCGCTCTAGTATTTCTGACCTACCTACCTGCAGTTTCTTTAATTCCAATGGCTGTGCATCTGTAAACTTGATGTTAGTTTGATCTAGAATTGACAAGCCTGCTTCCTGTCCTTTTTCCCAGTGTGCATCAAAAACAGCTCTTCAGTTTCGTGGATAGGAGTGCACTCTGACCCAGAACATCATTATTTTACTCTTTACATTGTTTGAGGAATAAGTCCTTGTTGGTGAGAGAAGAAGTTGTGCCAGCAATTATAGGACATTGAGCAGCATCCTTGACCACTACCCATCCATGGCATGCTCTCTCGACCCAATCATGACAATCAGAAATATAAATGAATAAATAAATAAATAAACAAACAAACAATCTCTAGCTACTGCCTAATATCCTAATATCCTGGGAATCATAATCTCCAAATTATTGTAACCTACTCCTATCAATTAATGTTCAAGGACTTCCACAAACTGTTATTTCCTTCAGTTTTCCCAGTGTTTTTTCTAATCATTCCAAAACGCTTTCTGGCTGATTCAGTCCCTTGAGACTTACATTATACATTTGCTCTGCCCAATTCAAAGCAACCTTCTTCTCCTATTCTTCCACTTCATGTGTTAATTCATAGTTGGTCTTCCATAAACAGGGAAGTATGTTTATGATTATTTTCATAATCATGTGACCACTCCGTTTTGTTGACATTTTTCTTCCAACCATTCTTCATGGTGTTGCTTTCTCTGCATATGGCTGGGACTCTGGCACTGAGACTCTCATTTGGACATGGTTGATATTCCACCACCATGAAATTGTGTACTTTGTGTTGGATGACAATGATCTTTACCACCCATTTTCTACACCTCCATCTCCATAACGAACTGTCTCCTGGACCTCAAAGTAGTCTTCCCAAGTATTCATAAAACATTTTAGAAGAATTTACAGACTCCTCACAGCCAATAAGTCTAAAAAAATTATTCATTGACTTTTCTAACTAAATTCCTTTCTTAGTGCCTTTCCTTAATAAATTTCTTTGTGACTTACCCACATACTCAAATGAGACCTTAAAATCACTCATGCTGGTTATGCAAACTACCTTCAGGTGTGCCATTCCTTCTCTCCATTGTTCCAACCTAGCCCCAGCCCATTCTTTTGAGAGTCTGGTCTCTTTTCCACCGGTCTATCTTTATCTAAAGTCACCTTTCTTTTCCCTTCAAAACTCGAGATGCCTCATTTACCTTTGACAGCTTCTCAATGCCCATTTCCCAAACTCTGCAGAGTATACATAAAAATAACCACAGCCTCAATGCCCCTGGCATTCTACCCCCCTTTGTCCTATATGCAGCCCGCCTTCCAAGCACAGCCCACTAATCATTCACTGAGATAATGTTTGTGTCTCTCAGTCAAGTTCCTGCCAGAAAACGAGCTTTTCTAGGTATTTCAACAGAGAAACATTATTAAAGAAAATGGAATAATAATATTTGAAGACTAAACATCAGAATACGGCACCAATGTAACTCTTGGCCAGTAAGTGCTCATGCAGGAGTAACTATCACTCAGAGGTCAAGAAATTACAAGAAAGAAGAGGGGCTTTCCAGAAACCAATAGGGTAGATGAGAGACTTCATAAACCTTAGAACTACATCTTTGAAGAGGGCTGATGTCTGCCTACACCTGTAGCAGTGCTTTGGAGATACGGTACCAGGATGGTGCAGAGATCTATGTGGCTCAGTGAGAAACCAGTTCTGAGTAAAGATGAGCAAAGGAAAGCTGAGATAAAGAACCATTCCTGGGCAGGCAAGCCATTAAGAACGAAGAGTGAAGGGGCTTCACACACCCCCGCTTTCCTTCTCCCTTCCCTCTGTGGTCCATTGTTGGTGGAATCCAGCACAACCTGTAGGGATTTTGTTGTAAAAACCAAAGAGGGGAATCAGTGTTCAAAGATAAATTCTGAACAACCTAGGTAGCCTCTTGGCATCTCTTTGCTTTAACACGCACAGTCTTTCCATTCATGGCGCTCTTTGACATGTATCTATCTGCCTTGTGTGCACCGTTGTTTAGATACGACTCCTTCTCTATAATTTTTTTCTATTCTCCAAAACATAGGCACCATCATTTGTGTTCACCTAACATTTTTCAAATACGTACTTTGTGGTCTTTTTCTGCCTTGTCTGACTGTCTCTGGTTGTGTTTGTTGATTTTCCACCAAATTGTGAACTCCTTGATGGCAGTCAGAGTGGTGGCCACAAAACATAGCAGGATGCTAGTCGTGGGCAAATGACTGAGGTGGATGAAACTAATAAGGACGTTTTAATGAAATCAGCGCTAGATCCCTTTTAGAATGTATTTCATCTCCTTAAGTAAATTAGAGCTCTATGAGAACAGAGACTATGTTTTGTGTTTGTTTTTATTGTCTCCATGGTGTTCAGTACAAGGTCTTACATGCTGAAGAAGAGCTCCTTGATACTTAACCATCTAGTTTGTTCATTAACCAACAGAATTTGGGTACTAAATGACATGAAGATGGAGCGTGAGGTTATAAGCATCAGGTAAGAACTGCAGTTAGATTTAAGTGTGTTTCTAGCATGTGACCCCAGCCATTAGATGGTATTGTGTGCACGGTAAAATTCTGTTCTTGTTGAATTTTAATAGGATGGGCACCATCAAGAACCCAGATGTAATATACTTTATCATAAATTCTAAAATAATAAAATGTATGCTAAGTTCCATTTTTTCCTGTTTATTATTACCCAGGATATGTTCCCCCCGGTCCATGAGATGACTGATCCTGGGCTACATCTGTTTCTTGTGTGTTTATTAAATTTTTTCACAACCATCCAAACCAACTAGCAGATTATTTACATGTAGGGAACGTATTGAATTTTAACTTAATCACTGGCTTCTTAGGAAAAAGAAACCTCTGCTCAACAGCTGTTTTGCATTCAAGTCCGAGAGGAAGAAAAATAGCTTCGCAAAAAAGAGGGGAGTGATATTTAATTAACTATTGATTTCTTCTCAATTATTCAAGGCAAGCAATTATCGATATTGATGGAACAGATATTTCCCTATGTCTAGTGCCCAAATGAAAGGAAATATCCCATTTTGCAATCTGCCTCCTAGAACAAGAAATGGTCAGAATCTTTAACTTTAAATGGAAATGGTTACCTGGATCTGTTTATTCCATGTTGCCGCAATTAAACAGATATTTCTTGAGGTGTAAGCAAAATGAAACCCCTAATACCTTTGTATACTTTCCCAATGAACAACAACAACAATACACCAGGACTTTTATCTGCTTTATCCAAGAATCTAATCACCCTGTGCTTGGGAGCCATGTTTCATAGGTACAGGTCTTGACATGCCAAGAAATAACTGACAAAATACCGCAATTTGGGTTCAATCTAAGCCACCCACCGAGAGGCAGCTTGTATGCTTGATGCTTATAATCCATGTGACACTGCCTTGTGTCCCAGCATTTCAAACATGAATGATTTACTAGTGCTAATTATACCAATGTATTATGCACCTGTCTTCTATGTCTCCCCGGAATGTAGAGGAACGTAGTCACACTGAACCCTGTGTAGGCACTTTATTATTAGCCCTGTGGATGCCCAGTGCCACCTTTCCTCAACCCATGGATGCACAAGAGCACTCATACATTTATGTGTGTGGGTGGAGTCCCTCTTGAAGACCACATGAGTATTGAAGTATGATTAATGGCCAAATAAAATGCTATCTACTACTGAGTTACTACTTGGAAGGTGGGAACTATTTGATAAAAATGTTTTGTCTTTAATAGCACCATTGTGGGGTGTGTGTGTGTGTGTGTGTGTCCATGTGACATCTTTGGAGAAATTGGGCCATGACCTTTTCTTTGAATGAAATCTCTTATAATTTACAAAAAGCTCCTTTTTCTGCTCTGTGCCCCGCCCTCTGTCCAGAGTGGTCTGTGTGTTAAGTGCTTAAGCAGCAAACGTTGCTGGAAAGCGCTCCTTCTTGGCTCTCTTATTCTTCGTTGTTGTGTTCATTTCCCTGGGTTCTATTTAACATTCTGCTAAATCAGTGAAACCTTGATTATCTAAGAGAATACAAGACATTGAATTAATGAGGATAACGGGAATTTGGAAGATGTGAGAAATTATTAGAGGTGAAAGTTCTGTGACGGAGGCTGCAAATGAATTTTAGCCAGGAGCTGCGGCTTGATTTTTCCAGCCTGATTCTATGCCTTGATGGATGTAATGAAATTTTGGTAATCAGGGTTTCACCGTTGCATTTATTACTGTTCCCAAATCAAGGTAACCTTGGGCTCTACTTCCCATATTTACAAAGCAATAAAAACCCCTAATGGGCTGTCAGGGACAAATGTGACTTCTCTTCCTCCCATGCCTCCCCCGAAACAAGCTCTCCCTCTTCCCATCTGGCTGTCGCCTGCCTGGAGCATGCTACTTCCGTCACATCCCGAACCTGCATTCCCCTGCTTCCCTGTGGCCTCTTTGCATGCACAACAAGGCTGGAACTGGTGCAGGGACGATGAATGTCCTGACCTGAGAGGTTGTTGGTCATTTCCGCAACACCGCTTTGCATTTTAAAGAGCACACATCTGACTTCAAGGTTCGCCATTCTTGTATCAGGCACTTGTCCTTTAAAAGCTAGGAGGTCACGGAAGGTCCCGGGTACATAAGAATTTCCAAACCAGGAGCATTGCATTACTTAATATTAGATAGCCTGAACTGGAAAATAACTAAGATTGCAGGGGGAAAAAAAAAACTATACGAAAAGGCCTAATATGATGGAAGCAAAGACAACTACATTTATTTGGAAATTGGAGTCACATGCTTAGTTTGTAGAGGGAAGGGGGAAGACAAGATCGATAGAGAATTTCTTTTTTAAAGCTGAAAACATGATGTTCCAGATGAACTTAAATTGATTCTGCTTCTCCTCCCCTCCCCCTCCCTCCCCTCGTTCTGCAGCTAATGTCTGCGACAATGAGCTCCTACACTGCCAGAATGGAGGGACCTGCCACAACAATGTGCGCTGCCTGTGCCCAGCCGCCTATACCGGCATCCTTTGTGAGAAGCTGCGTTGTGAAGAGGCCGGCAGCTGTGGCTCCGACTCCGGCCAGGGAGCACCCCCACGGGGCTCCCCAGCACTGCTGCTGCTGACCTTGCTGCTGGGGACAGCCAGTTCCCTGGTGTTCTAGGGGTCACACCAGCCCTCCGACAGGCCTGTGCTGTGGGGACGCAGACACAACCCAAGTGATTGCTACTAACATAGAAAACACGCACACCCACTCCAACACAGTGTACAAGCGAAGAGGGCGTAACTGAACTAAGCCATATCTCTCAGACCCGGACAGCACATCCGTCGGAGTCAAGACTGTTTGTTCATCACTGACTCCAGAGGAATTGGCAGCTGTTGCTATTATCACTGCAAATCTCATTGCCAGCTGCAGAGCCCATTGCAGACTGGAAAGGCTGCAAGAGCGTCCCCAAAAGAAAGACAAAAACAAACTGATCTATCAACCTAAAAGGAAAAAAATTCGCTACTCTACCGTGGTGCACCCTAGTACCGCTCTGCCCAGTGTGTGGACCAACCAAATAGAAGCATTCTTTGCTGTCAGGTGCATTGTGGGTATAAGGAAATCTGTTACAAGCTGCCATATTGGCCTGCTTCGGCTCCCCGCCCCATCCCTTCCAACCCGTGCTTTAGTGAAAGTTGCTCTGTAACCCTTGTTGGTTGAAAGGTTTCTTTGTCTGATGTTAGTGATATACATGTGCAACAGACCCCTTCCAAAGCGCAAGCCAGTCATACCCCTGTATATTTTAGCAGCACTGAGAGCCCAGTGCCAGCTCACACCCACTTCACAAGAGTGGCTAGAGGAAAGAGAAAGTGTATCTATCCTTTTGTATTAAAATGAAGTTATTTTTCTTGAAATACTGTAATATGTAGATTTTTTGTATTATTGCCAATTTATGTTACCAGACAATCTGTTGATGTATCTAATTCGAATCAGCAAAGACTGACGTTTGATTTTTTGTCCTCTCTTTGCTTTGGTTTTGTTTCGTTGTGCAGAGATTTCTCTGTATGGGCAACGAGCGTGCTGGCATCAAAGAATATCAGTTTACATATATAGCAAGTGTAATAAGATTCCACCAAAGGACATTCTACATGTTTTCTTGTTGCTTTAACGCTGGAGGATTTAAAGAATAAAAATTCCTGCATAAATGACGTCAGGAATTTGCATTGCTGCTTCTTAAGAGGAAAAGGAGCAACCCTCCGAGAGTTTCACAGTCACTTCACTGATTTTGTGTGGACCGAACACAGTCAGCTGATGTCATCAGTAGCCCAGGAAGATGGATGGATAGTCACTAGCTTGGACAGCGTCTGCAAAATACGGGACTATTTTCCACCTGGGAAAAATCCTAACTGCAAGAACAGGGAGAAAGAAATATATAAGTGATTGCCAAGATTATGCCAAAGCCTGTTGGCAGAGTACTGAGAGACTTTTATTTTTAAGTCATGCTATTTTCACAGATTTATGGTGATCATGTGACTCCAGGGATGCTGATCGATGTATCCTTCCAAATACAGTGTTTACATGGAGTATCATAAGAGGCCACCTGGGGAACCAGGACAGCAGCAGGGAAATTGAGTGATTAGCAATTTGACTTTGAATATATTCTAAGTATTTAAATGAAATATCAAAATATACAGCAGCAAGTAGACATAACTGCTGTTCCTGAGAATAAAGTCTGTTTCAAGTACTGCCCAAGGTGTAATAAATTCTTGTTTCTGCCTTTTATTAGGCCAATTACCGTACAAGACAGCAAAGGGAGCCGGGAGGGGGGAGAAACACTGCAAAGTTCTGGAGGGGGTGGAACAGTGCATGTTCTGAACCAGGATACTGCCACCCCACAGGTGACAAATGTGTCAGCAGCAGCATCTCTCAGAATCAGAAACAATTATGAGGCCAAGACAGAAGCTTAAGGACAATGAAGTCCTACGTGACTTGGTGGGACAATAACCTATGTCAGTATTAGGTCAGAAGCTCGTTCCAGGCTGAAGTCTTCACCCTGCTGCCAGTCTTTGCTGAGCAGAGGGGGAGGAAATGCCTTCTGATAAATAACCCGAGTCAAAACTAGATGAAGGAACAGCATGTCTTATTGGTTTTGTTCCCAGAAAAGCCAATTCAAAGAAGGCAATAAAAGGTAAGCAGGTAATGCCTGTTCTGCCTGCTACCCCACGTCCAAGTCGATTGAATGTTTGTTATTCAAACCAACAGCCTCTTTTGATATAAGGAATAGGGAAAGATGAAAATAAATTAGCGCTTTGGCTTCGTGCCAGAGTGGCCAACCAGAAATGGCAGATTTACATTAGAAGCATAAATAGAAAATTATATTCCCAGCTCACCAAAGAATACACATGAAAATGCTGATAGCCTACAGAGTGTGAGATTACTTCTAATGAGGTGGACTTCTTACATTAAAACGGAGTTTAAGTTGTCGTATAGTTTATTAGCACAAACCAAAGGCAGACTGTGTTATTCCTGGCAACGGTGCACTTTATAATTATGCACTCATAACCTTGCCACAATGATCAGGAATCAGACAATGCACAATTCAATCCATGGGATTCCAAAAGAGCTCATTCTGAAATTTAATGAAGGCCTGATTTAAATCGATTCATCTGCATTTTATCTTTATGAGGCTATAAGAATCTAAATTGATGAGGAATATCTTGCATTCAGTGTATTTAGATATAGTTCTCTGAATTTCTTGGAGTGATGTGATCTACTTTTAATAAAAATTCACTTTTAGGTATATAACAAACGTAAATGAAATGTTCTTTTTAATCTGGATTCTCGAGTTCTTTAAAAAGCCAATTCTCTTGAAGAAATGTCAGCCGAAGGGATTTCCTCTGCTGCTTTCTAGAAGTCTTTCAAGTTGTAATGTTTTGTCCTGAGACAGGGCTGAGGCAAACAGGGCGTGCTAAGTCGTGCCCATATTTGAGGATCAAGTTCCTGCTTGTGTCCTGGAAGGTTCCTTAAGGCGAGCTAACCAGCTATTCCATGAGTTCATCTGTCAACTGTCCTACAAAGTAGGAACATCACTCTACCCACTATTGATGTGTATAAAACTCAAAAGGGGTGGGGGAGCCAAAACGACAGCTATGTAGAGAGTATTGCTGTGCGCAGAAGTAACCTGTCTTACTTACCATAAAGTGGGAATGAGTTGTCACCCAGACTAAGGACCACGTTCTCTCTCCTCTGCACTGCCCCAGTTAACCAGTCTAATCAGATGTCCCCACAGGACGGTGTGGGCTCCTGAAGGCAAGCAGCACAAAAGGCAGTGCACAGCCTTGAGCACCGGGTTGGAAGAGGGCACAGACTCCACAGTTGAGTAGTTTCGGGCATGTCCCATTTGCCTTTTCCTGGACCTGGGACTTTACTGGGGTCTAAGAATCCCATTCTCCCTTTCCTGGACCTGGGACTTCACTGGGGTCTATATTTAATATATTTGATAGAATATTTAAATAGAAACCTTGAAATTAAGTCTTTCTTTTCATCTCCTTCACCCGCCTACCACAAATAGTCCAGTAATATGGGAGTAAAAAAAAAAAAAACCCATATTCTGAGGTGGGGTGTTATGTTGAATGCTATGTTGTACTTCACCTATTGTTTTTTTTCTGGCAAAATATCTGTTTAACAGTTTCTGTGCTCACAGAATTGAGCAGGGTACTAGGGATCTTGGGGATCATAGTATTTTCATAGCATATGACACCATCTGTGTGTATTTAACATCTGGTATGATGTAAAATTTCAGCTTCAGAAATCTAAGCGAGTTCTTTCCTTACCATGCTGACCCCTCCAGCCTTTATTGATAAGGAGGGTATGATATTCACTTAGCCATGAGTTGGAAGAAGATGATCAACCAGGCTTTAAATGGAGGACTTTTCAAAAGAAACCCAACTGGAGTCACTACATAAAAGAATAAAAAGCAAATAAGCAACACCCTAGGGATTTTGACACAAAAGCCTAACTCTGAACAATAGTCTCTGGCAATCAGCACTGGACTGTAATTTGTATTATTTATTAGTTTGTTTGTCGTGTATGGATGTTTTGCTTATACTGGTGCCCTAGAAGTAAAGAGAGGGAGTCAGATCCCCTAGAACTAGAGTTAGAAACTGTCGTGAACCGCCATGTGGATGCTGGGAATTGAATCCAGGTCCTCTGCAAGAGCAACCAGTGCTTTTAACCACGGAGCCACCTCTCCAGTCTCTCACTGTTATTTTTAAGAAACACCAGTCACCTGACACAAACATTCTGCACGTTCTGAGTATGTCCATATAGTGTTTTTATTGAAACTATATTTTTACTTTCTTACATTGTGAGTAGCTTTCTTGCCCTTCCGTTACCTAAAAATGGATGCCAAAAAACTCCTCACATAAACAGCACACAAACACACAATGGTGTCAGAAAAAAAAAAAGCATGCCAACTTCCGTATTTTGAATTTTCCCCAAACAGAGACCTTCTGTTCTTCTCAGCACCTGGTGTGGTGTGACTCCCAGGCGACCATCTTCATTACGCTCCTGCGGAACCATGGAGAGAAGACACAGCCATGCCCCGTGCACAAGTCACACTACTGCACATAGCTAGAAAATGGGAAATAACATCTGTGGAAACCAAGTTAATATTGACTAATACGCAGTGACTTAAACTCTACTGCAGAAGAAAGTGCCCCTACTACATTTTTAGAGGGAGCTCTGAAATAATTCTGTAAGAAGACTGAAATAATTTTGAAGGTTGTTTTAAAGTATTTGGACCTTTAGTAACTTCTGGAATCCTACTCTCCTTAATTTGCTCCCATCACCCAAAAGCTGCCTTTAATTGATGAATTAAAATGGAGTAATAACATTTAAAAAAATGTGATGTTTTTATTAACCAAAAATGACACCTGCTAAAATGGGTCATTATTCTACAAAATCCCAATTATGTTAACATTAAAGATTTAACTAAACTGACTGAGGCAAAAGGTAGAGAGTTGTAAGTAAAAATGACCCCCATTTTCCAAATATAGTCCCATTGTTTTCCCAGAGGTATCATTTGAACTATTATTTAATTAGAATTAGAAATTCCACATTGACAAAAAAAAAAACACTTCACTGGGAAGAGTAAAATATAATTATTACATTCCTTACCTGGGCGTGACTAGAGACAGAAATTCCTGCATGGCCAGAGAGTGTCAAGTCCCTTAAAGACATCATATACCAAAGTTGTATGGTGATGATTGCTCACAGCACCATAGCAGAGCTTGTCTGTTACACAATCGACCGACCGCAGAAAAGCACGCACCTGAAGTCCTGTTAAGAATAGGTGCTATTTTTTGGCCCCCAGGCAGTCAATTTTGTTTGTGTTTGCACTCCTAAGGAGGGCTGCTCCTGTTGAGGAGCATCTTCCCTCTGCCTATGAGAAACACTGCAAGAAAGCATCCTCTAAGGAAATAGCATTCTGCTATTTACCCCATGAAGCCCTGAGTAATTGTTTTGGCTTTCTTGGTGTGATAAACACCTAGAGGCAAAGAGACCAGTGTCATCACTCTCCATCTCTTTTTCTCTGCCTTTAGGAAGGTGTTGGGGGTGGGCATGGGGGTTGCTTCCAATCTAGTGTGACGAGGTTTGTGAAAAAACATTTCTGTCCGCGGATGTGTAATTAGGAAGACCCTGCTAAATATTCAGTTTATTAAATTAATAGTGTAACAAATATTGGAGCAGTTTTACAACCACTTAAACTTGTGTTTACATCCTGTGTAATTACAATTCATAATTGGGAAAGCAGTCAAATCCAAACACATTCTGATCAATGGTTCTCAGGCTGCCAGGCAGACCCAGCACAACGCAACACAGTAAGTGGTTTTTAAAACCTAGAATTCAAATCAATTCGGAGGGGTGAGGGAAGACGTTTAGCAGTGAAATGTTTTAAATTGTGAATTAGATTGTACGTAAAAATGATTATTTTTTTCTGGGCATGAAAAACAATATACTTCTTTAAACATTAAAAAAGCTTATAAAAATGTAAATAGGACTGCTATAAGGGCTACAACTTACCCCAACTTTTGAAAGAATCATCAAATAATACATTGTTGTCATGGGAGGAATGATAAAGGCACATGGATGTATGAAAAACTATTGTCCAGCAATCACTTCCATTTCAAATTACTGAACTCCATTTCATATGTATCTATATTTATTTCATGGCTAGATGCCAGGTGCAAAATAAAAATGAAAAATGGCCCAGGTAAGGACTATAATTTGAGACCAACTAACCAGACTATCTAAATAACTTGATAGCTTTGCTATACTTTTCATAGGAACATGGAAGGGACATGGAGGTTCACATCCTCTGGTTCCCTTTAACAACCTCCTTCCTCCATCTGAACAGCATGTGCTCCAAAACAAGTCTCAGATAAAGCTCTAAGGAGATGTTCTACCTCATCAACATGTTTGTCGTCAAATTCCCATGCCACTTGTCTGAGCTACTTTTCCTATGACTCTGATAAAATACTCTGAGGAAAGCAACTTAAAAGAGAAAGGTCATTTTGGATCACAGTTCAGTCTTAGAGGCCACCACAGCAGGGAGTCCTGTCTGCAGGAACCTGAGAAATATGGCCACGTAACTTCTGCTGCCAAAAAATAGGAATAGTGAATACCCATGTTCAGATTTCTCCTTGCATGCAGTCCAGGATCTGGGCCACAGGGAATGATGCTACACTCCCTTAACGTAGGCTGTCACACCTCAATTATACTACTTAAAATAATCCCTTACAGGTATGCCTGAACATAACTTCATCCAAGTGATCCATACAAGTATTCTAGAGCTGTGTCTCCTAGGTGACTGCAGAGTCTGAGGTTGATGATCCCACTAACCATCACATCTCTTGATATAATGAAATTATAGCAATCAGATTCTTGAGCCAATTCAAACAGAAGTATATTTTCAGGTTAAATCCTCACATTAATGCATATGGCATAATACATTTACAAGCCTGTGTGTTAAGGGTTACCTCTAATTAAGGGTAGGCAATAGGCAATACTCAGTTTATCTGAGACTCATTCTTAATGAATGCTACTACACTATGCAGATTTAACAACCTCTCTCTAGGTCTGCAAATGTGACCATTCTCAGAAACTCTGAAATAACATATGTTCAGATTTGGTTCTCGGAGCTCTGAGATCCACAACCTGCTCTGGTTTCTCCACTACAGACATTTTTACTAGAAAGATCTTCAACAATATCTTTCCAACCCAGGGCATAAAATGTATGACAAATAAAATAAAATGCATGAGCCGCTGAAAGACATTTGGATTGAACGGCACAAAGCCAGTGTCTTTCCCACCAACTTGTTCTATTTGTGTTGTGATTCGAGTTCACAAGCGTAAGATTAGGAGCAAAAGTTTCCCTAATTGTCTTCACACTTTCCTGAGTGTGAGCAGCATTCTGAGTATATAAAGCCCTTAATTCACACTGGATTCTCTAGACCTGCACTAATCGTCATCAATAGCTACCTCTCTACAGCTATTGAGCGCCCAAATGTGGTTAGTCCAAGCTGGCTAGTCCTCTAAGAACATGAGATTTCAGAGTCTTAGCACAAAGCATACAAGGAACTTTGTGAATCATTTTAAAATAATTTTTATATTGATCCCATGTTAGAGTAATAATATTTTGGATACAGTGGATTAAATAAAATGTGTTATCACAATTGATTTTAATTGTTCCAATCTCCTTTTCTAATGTGGAACCTAGGGGTTTTTAACTTACACAAGTGGGTAACATTATATTTCTATTGAGCAGCATTTCTCTGAGCATCAAATTTTCTCGTCTATAAAATGAGATTAATAGTATTCATTCTCCAGGATGAATATGAAAAGGATAATGAGGTAACAAACCTGAAATACTTGTTGAATTGTAAAGTAGGGGGAATACGTGACATAGTACAGATCCCAGGACTTGAGTCAACATTAGTGTGTCTTTGCTTTCTCTGTTATTATTTTTTCTTTGTTGAGTCAGACACTGTTGCTGACGTGAGTTAACTTTAAAAGCATTGTTCACATACATATGCCTGTGGGCATCTTTAGACACTATAGTGAGACCTCAGGTTGAAAGCTGGTTAGAATACAAAAATGTAGACTAAAACCCTGAAATATAAGCTAATTAAAAACCTCACAGCAATTTGATGCAAAGCCCCCTGGAACTCAGTTGCCTAGGTCAAAATGGGTATCATGATTCTCACCCTCCCAAAAAAAGTTTCATAGTCAGGAAATGTCAGCTGTCACCGGACAATGCCCATTCGGTCCTAAAAGATGGCTGCACATTTCCTGTCGCTGGAGTCCCCCATTCAGGCCAGTCCAGCTCTTTGTTCAGAATTCTAGTGCCTAAATGTTCATCTATTTTCAGAGACAAGCAATGAAATAGGATGATGCCCTTGGTAAAAGCCTTAGAGAGTTTCTGGGGTGAGAAAGTTTCGTGTTTTGGAACAGGTAAATCGTCAAGTCTTTTTGTTTACCTTTTTGATTCAATAAAGCAATCAGGAAAATTGAACAGGTTTCGTGTTTCATTCCTCAACTTGAATATTTGAGTTTTCCTAAATTGAATTATTTGACTGAAACAAACTATATCAGAGAATGGGGGTTGGAGAGAGGAAATCAAATTCTCGTTTTTCCTGTCAGCTCACGGTTGTAGCGTCGGCACGGATACTCTGAGGCCCCGTGAGATCCTACTTAATTAAAGTCTGTTCGTTCTAACTCCAGCTGGCCCACTGACTCGCTCTGTGGCCTCACCCTGTGAAGTCCTCTGCCCACTAGAAAGGCTCAGGGGGCTGTTAATGCAAGGAATCAATGATCAAAAATTAATTTTAAAGCCTGTGGTAAGAGCACATTAACATGAACTGAATATCCTGCTTTGTGGAGAGGCTGATCTGCAGAGCTGTGGCCCTCCAGAGGATCTGAGGACAAAATTCTGCAGCCAGAGCGTACCTTGAGAATAATGATGCATGTCACTAATAACTCAGTGCTAAGTTACAAGCCCAAATTGGAGACTTTGCAGAGAAATACACAGCCTCGGTAATTTCCAGTTTGGTGTAATAATATGGAAATGGCTTTTGGTGCTGGAAATGGATCAGTCCAAATGAGCTGGAATTGATAGCTGCCTGTAATAGTAAGGGCAGGAGAGAGTGATCACGTCTCTGTCCTTGCTGCCTTATCTAGGGCTCTCCAGACGTGACAATTTTAGGAAGTGAGCCTTTAAGTGTGTTGTGAAAACGTACTACAATATCCTGTGGCATAAGGCATGGCACCTCTAAAATCACCTCAACAAGACCTCGGAATTGGAGCCCCCTTTCCCAGGGACGGAAAGGGTGTTTGTTCTTGCAAAAAGTAAAGGAAAATGGTAAGCCTAGGAAAACTGATGTGGGCCTGAGACAGTAACTCAGTCAGTAAAGGGCTCACCTTGAAAGCGCGAAGACCCAAGTCAGATCTCCCCCAGAAGCCAGAAGCGTGGTGATGTGAACTTGTAACCACAGGTCCGAGGACACAGAAACTGCAGATCCCTGATGCTTGGCTGGCCAAACAACCTTGATTACTTAGTGAGCTCCAGACCAGTGAAGGACTCTGTCCCAACAAAAATAGGTAGATAGCCCATAAGGAATGATGGTTAAGGTTGTCTTCTGGAGTACACAAGGCCACACACACACATGTGCACACACACACAAGCACACACATGCACACACACCACATACCACACACCCGTGAACACACACATGCATACACATGCACATACCACATACCACACACCCGTGAACACACATATGTGCACACATGTGTG